GATAAAGAATTGTTCATTTTTATTAAGTGACAGGGAAATAAAGAATTCTTTCTTTTTAATAGATACAAAGGTTATTATTAAAACAAAAGTACAAGAATGCAGGCAAAGGAGCTTATGTAATTGAAATTATTATAAATAAGACATGAATCAAGAATTTTATTTAATAACTAAACTCTTGTAACCAATTTTAAAAATAAAACTTCTATTATAAATTAACCTTATCATTAATAAATTAAAAATAATATATGCCCTTACATACCCAACCATCTAATTTTTGCATTCACACTCATTTCATTAAATTTTTTATTTTTTTATTGCTTCTAAATAAAATGTCTCCAAAAAGAGTAACTTTATCTAATTCTCAAAAATATGAATTTTGTCCAACAAATAAAACTGGTTAATTCTCTTGATAGATAGATTAGTTTGAAAACAATAAATACAATGAGGCAAACTACAATAGAATCTCATCTTAATCAACAATTATATAAAATTTTTTTTTAGTGATAATAATGTTATCCCTTAAATGGTTATTCGGCTATTGATAGCTGAAGGTATTACTTCCTAATACGAAAATGATCTTTGAGATTCAGCTGATTGATCTGTGAATAAAAATTCGGTTGTTGTCCTTGTGGTTTTCGTAAAATCTTCCTTGAAAGTTGACCAATTGACTATTTTTACTTTTTACAAGTTAGATATTGATGAAGATATTATATTACTTGTATAAATTCAAAGAAAATCCTTCTAAAAAATTTCTTTCTTTCATCAGGACTGATTAGATTGACAAGAGGATTGATTTCACAGCTTATTTTCATCAAATCCAATTATATTGACCAATCATATAATATAGAGTTTATATAATATATATCTTGATTACCACATACAGTCAAACCCTCGTTTCAACGGATTTTTGTTTTTACCCCCTTACCCTTGATTTTATTAATTAAAAAATTCTTGTTTCAACGGATTTTATATTTAAGTCGCGTTTCAACGGACAACGGATTTTTTGGTAGTAGTAGTATTAGTAGTCATATAGAAGGTTCCCAATCAAAAATCCGTTAACACTGTGACACGAATTTATTAATAAAATCGCTGTGACAAATATTTTTAATTAGTAAAAAAAAGGGGACAAAATTTAAATCCGTTGTAACAAGAAATCCGCTTGGCAAGGTCTGCTGTGACCGAGGTTTGACTGTATTATTTTGTTGTATGCCCATATTGTAGTAACACGGTCTTTATTAAAAATTCCACGATCTGCAAATTAACCAGCCATATTAATAAAAGAAATCAAAAGCCTTTCTAAAAAAAAAATAAAAAAAATATTTATTATATTATTAATATATTTTTAGCATTATAACCGATTGTAAATTATAAAATATAACACAAATGACAAATTCAATGGATGACACCTCTACTCTACAGATTCCTGACCCACCAACATTAATACTACCACCAGAAAACAACAAAGATGATAACAACAAAGATGATAACAACAACACAAACAATATTGTTTATACCAGAGGTGCTTCTATAGAGTACGATAATTCAAGTAACGATAGTAGCGATTCTTTTCAAGCTACTGTTCCACTTCTTCCAAGCAAGTCAAATTATTGTGGCTCAAGTGATGATAAAAAAAGGTATCAAATGGAAAAATCTTCAAAGCATAGTGCCAGAAAATTATGGATAGCAATAGTGATAGCGTGTCTCTTTTTTACCATTGAACTTATTGGTGGTTGGATTGCTGGAAGTTTGGCTTTATTAAGCGACTCATTTCATTTATTGAGTGGTAGGTTGAAAACGTTCACACTTCAGTATGAACGTAAATTTATTTCTATAAAATTATATTTATTGATATTAATATTTTGTAATAACTTAGATGTGGTTAGCTTTGCTATTTCTCTTTTATCTATATATCTTGCTCGAAGACCTGCTACAAATTGTAAGAAAAATTGTTCATAATTATCATTTATTACTTCCTCATAATTTAAAAGAGATTATTAATATATATCATATGTTATGTAGCACTTTCATATGGTTATCATCGTGCAGAAATTCTAGGAGCATTAATATCTATAATTATTATATGGCTTCTTACTGGATGGCTGTGTGTTGAAGCTTATTATAGAATACAATTTCCAACACCTGTTGATGGAAAAACAATGAGTTTTGTTGCTGCAATTGGTGTTGTAGTTAATATTGTGTAAGTTTCTTCTCCTTTACCTTTCTTTTCTAAAAATTTTCATTAATTATGCCAAATAAAATTAAAATAACAATGATTATTATTATAGATTAATACTTATTTTGGGACATGAACATCATGGAAATGACGATGCTCACCATAAACATCATCATTGTGGTGATAATGTTAATGTCCGTGCAGCGTTGCTTCATGTTTTGGGTGATTTGTTATCATCGCTGGGTGTTTTAATTTCATCGATAGTCATTATTTTTGACGAGACAAAAGTCTGGGTTGATCCCTTATGTACTTTTGCATTTTCTATTCTTGTATTAGCAACAACTTTCGGTATATTTAAAAATGGGATTAGGATTTTGATGGAAGGTTTGTATCAAGTATAATGATTTATTGGGATTACACAAAATTCATTGTAATAATTTAATAATTAACTTTTTAATTTATTTATTTTATTATTTTTATTTTTAATAAATTAAAGCTACTCCATCCCACATCGATTCTGATGCTATCAGAATGGATTTGGAAGCTATTGATGGAGTGAAAAGTGTACATGATCTACATAGTAAGTATTTTCTTTTTTTTTTAAATTAGAAAAAAAAATTTAATAATAATTGTTTTCTTTTTTTTTAAAAATATAGTATGGGATTTGACTGTTGGAAGAGTATGTTGATTATAATTGATTAATACTAATCATCTAATCATTATTTATCGTATATTTAATAATTACTAATTATTTATTTATTTGAATAGACAACACTTACGGCACATCTTTGTCGTGAATACAAGACTGATAGTCAAGCTGAAGCATCTTCAAATTCTTCAATTTTAACAAAAGCTTTAAATATGTTGAATGATAAATACCATATTTCACAAGTAACAATCCAGATCGATCCATAAGATTAAGAAGATTTATTATTAATTAATGATATGTTGTTTATACAAAATATCAATTAGTTAAGTAATTGGTTTATTTATATTAATATTATTAACAAAAAATATTAAGGAGACTCAAAAAACTTTTTCACTTCATTTTTTTTGTACTCACAAAGAACTAATATTGTTTTTATTATAATTAATTATTGCATCCTATATTTCTTTTCCTTTTTTTTCAATTTTTATTATTAATTATTACATTTTGCATCTTAATTAGAGATTTCATTCGATTTTTTGTAAAATCTTTACATTTTTTTTTTTGTACATTCATTATTATATTTAACATATATTAAATATTCTTTTATAGTGGTTAGTAAAATTTAGTTAATTATATTAATGTAAAATAACTTTTATTATTCCAGCAACATCATATATCATCAAAAAGTTATTTTATTCAAGGAGGACAATCTTTTCTTTATTTGGTTCCCAATTTGATATAAATAAAAAATATCAACTTTTGACTTTATTTAAAAGATTGCTTTCAAAACCATCTAATATCAATAATATTTATTATTGTTTATTACTAAAAAATAGTATATAATAACGAGGAGTGTTCCTCGAAATATTACAAGGTATTTGATTGAATTAATCTAAAATATAGAATATGATAATATTATTAAAGAATAAATTTATTAGTCGAAATGCCGTTGATCCTATCATTATGGAACCATCAAAAGTTTCTTCTCGATGCAAACATTGATAACCGCATCTTCATCATTTAACATGCTAGTTATTTTTTGATGTTTACCAAGAACAATAGGGACGAGTGATTCCACCCACCCACCACATATTTCAAATAGGGAAAGTGCTAAAGGGATATACAACAACACTTGATAAAATATTTGACGTAAACTATTGGATAAATTTTTTCCTGTAGTAAAACTTTTTATTTTAATTACGTTATTTGTTGGTTCAAATTTCTTATTACATATCATCCACTAATTTTTATACGATTTGCTAGATTCAATATTAACAATAATGATCGTGGAGATGGTAATACAGTAGCAATAATAATTACAGCTTTTAGCATTAATAATAATTAATTAATTTCATAGCAATTGCTAAAAAAGAACAAGCATAAAGCTAAAGTTAACCTCTTCAAATTTTTTTCTTTTTAATTATGTAATTTTTCATTGTATTCACGATTTGTCGGCTCTTTGCAAGAAATTAATTTTTACGATGTATGCAAACAAACATATCATATATGTTTGCCCAGTTCGGGCGAAACTTTATTAATATTTATTATTTTTCATTCCCTTATCTTTCTCTCAGACCAGGCTTAAAATTGATCACTGATAGCTGGTGCTTGTGTGATGATTGCTTTGTGTTATATCCCTCTCATTGGAATAAAGTCAGTGTCTGCAACCGATTCAAAATTCTCCAATGCAATCTGGGTTGCTGTCTTGTTGGTGACATGCCTACCCACTAACAACCCTACCCCATTTAAATAACAAGTTCAGTTGATCAAATAACAATTAAGAAAATTCATGAAAATGATTAATTTATAAGATACCAAACAAATCTGAACCATTTTATTTACAGCTTTTACCTTGATTCCAGTGATCACGGTGACTATCACAATAGAAGTGAGCAAAAGTCGAACTGCCACATTTATACTTGTAAGAACATGCTCTCATTGAGCTACACTCCTTTATTTAACCTAGGGTGGGTTATATGGGTAAGAGTTAACATTTAAAAAATATCAAGTTCAATTGCAGAAAATGATTAATTTTATAACAAACATACCAAAACCCGAACCATTTTATTTTACAGCCTTCCTCCAAACACCAGAGCCCAAACGCAATTTCAGGGCCACCAACCCTGCTCTGAATTGTTACCCCTTGTAGCTTGAAACAAGCTGCAGATTCTCGTTGCTTTGATGGATCTGGATGTTTACATAGCACTATTATTCATCAACAGAGTTGCGATTTGGTCACAGAGCCATCCTTACCTAGAGGTAGGATCATTGCAGGCAACTTTTCAGCTAGCATGCCAGCAGCCTTCTCTGGTCTGAGAAGATTAGTGAAAGTGTCGTTGATGATTGATGCAGTCTTGATGCATTCCAGGGCATTGCGCCCCTCCCCTAGAATTTAACAGCATCGTTGTATCATCGGGGTAATCTTGGTTAGATTAGCCTTGTGTACACGAGGAAGGTGTGTGAATGACTGTAAAGTGTTCAAGGTAGCGTGCATGCTTCAACATCTGCTATTTTCCTGTAATCAAACATTGCATATCGAATTGTTTCATACTTGAATTGTTTCATATTGAATTGTTTCTTCTGCAACAGTCAGTCATGCCACCTTGATATCTTGTAATTATAATATTTTATAATAATATTATTATTGATTACGAAAAGTAAAATATTATCAATGAAAATCTTGTAATTACCCAGCGAGATCTGCTCCGCGTTTTGATTCCAATTAAAATATTATAAACTAAAATAAAAATATCAATCAATATAAGTAAAAAATAGTACCTCTGGTTAGTTATTAACACGTTTTCTTTAGGAGACCCAAACAAAACCAACAACAATACTCATGTTTTAAATTGTTTTTCACGTCTGCCCCCTAAAAAAAAAATACATAAATAATTAATGTGCACGTGTTTCTCGATCAAAATAAAATTTATTCTTTTTCAATAATTCTAAATAATTCTTTACTTTCCCCAAGAATTTCATTTCCACAAACTATTCAGCAACAACAAAAGCAACGTAATTCAGCAACAAATATAAATAATATAAATAACTTTTAATAAGTGACAACTTAAATACTGCTTCTGAATTTGGTACTTCCTACATACTAACTGCTGCTACTCCTACTGTGCCAACGATTGGTACACCTTCCACTAATGTCTTTTTCAAATAAAAGAAAAAAAGTACTCGTTATTGATGTTGCTGGGTAAGTGTTTATCAAAAGAATGGTGGTGGTTATCGCCTGCCACTTGTCGTCACTCTAGTTTTAATAAAAAAAAAATCATTTATATTAATAACAGGAAAAGAAGAAAAGATGATGATAAACCAATTCAAGTAATGATTAATTATATCTATAGATTGTGTATTACTATTGTTATGATAAATTAATAAAATTTAATTTTACGTAATGTTTATTGATTAGAATAAATCAATTGAAGATGATGATATTAAAAATGATATATTATTTGATTTAACGTTACCAGGGCCTAGAAATTGCAAATTTAACAAATCATCATCCCTTGAAACTTACCGAACAAAATTTATCAAAATTGGATATACCTCAGGATGCATTACATGTAGACCCATCAACTGCCATTCATTTAGATTTGCTTGGCCAAGATCAAATTTACAACAACAACAAACAACATGGGGTCTAATTGAGGCACTCTCATGTTTAATCGAATGTGCTAATCCTAAACTCATAGATGAACAATGGGTATTAAATCATTATAAATGGATAGTATGGAAAATAGCCAGTATGGTTAGAATTTATTTCGTGACTGGTTATCATCTGAAAAAGTACTTGATCAATTAAAATACAGATATGAAAGAGAAATTAATTGTGGTCATAAATCTGTTATTAAATCAATTATAAAAGATGATGCTTCACCATCATGGCCAATGGTTCTTTGTGTATCAAATATAATTGATGATGTTACCCAATCAATATCTTCATATTTGTCATTATCATCTTCCTCTCATATGTCAAAACTTGAATTAACTGATGGCTGGTACAAGATTCCTGCATGTATTGATCCACCATTACAACGAGCTATAATGAAGTATAAAATAAAAATAGGTTACAAACTTGAAATTTGTGGAAAACCTAATGAAAAAACACCAATATCAACAACATTTGATGAAACAAGTTCCATATATTGAAATTATCAGGAAATTCAACAAAATTAGCTCATTGGGATTCCAAGATTGGAATTGGAAAATTTAGGACATTTGCATCATTTAAAGAGTCTTACAACGGATGGTGGACCTGTTTTTGCAATTGATGTTATAATAATGCGAAAATATCCATTTATGTGCTGTGAAACAAATGAAGATGGGATATATATCACACATAATGAAAAAGGTGAAGAACTGGCTCAAAGAAATTCTAAATATATTCATTCTGTTGTTCCATTCTTTAAAGTACATGTACAGTACTTGGACAAAAGTTTCAGAACACTTGTTTTTGTTAATTGTGCAAAAATGTACATAATAAACATATATGAAATTTATATCATTTGCAATTTAGGTCCTTATGAATATCTATACAAAATCCCATGCGTCTAGGTTCTGTAGAACTCGAATAAATACATAAAAATGAAATTTGATTAAATTTTGGCAAACAAAAATTTTTCACATGATGTTTTTAGAAATTGTCCAAGAACCTACATAATAATATGTTTTGGAAATTTTGTATATGAAAACCCAATTTTTGCTGATTCTGAAAAAGTAACTTTTATCACATATTTTTTAAGATCTTTTTTTTAAAAAAAAGATCTTAAAAAGTTTTCAAAATTTTAAATTTCAAAAAAAAATAAAAAATGTCTAATTAAACTGAAGCTCAACATGGACAAATAGTTGGCCTTTATAAGAGTGGAGCCTCATATAGAAGTATTTCTAAAATACTTGGCTTTCCCACCACAACAGTATGTTGTACCGTGAAGAATTTTCAAGAAAGAGATAGTATGGCAGATTTACCAAGAAGTGGATGTCCAAAAATTTTAAATACTGACCATCAACAAGCATTAAAAAATATTGTTAAACATAACAACCATAAATCAGCTGAACAGATAAAGAATCATTTTAATCAGGAAACTGGTTTACATGTTTCTACAAAAACTATTAGAAGAAGTTTACACGGAATCAACATATTTGCTTGTGTTCCTGCTTTTAAGCCTTTGATTAATGAGCAACAAAGAATAAAACGTTTGAATTGGTGCCTAGGAAAAAAAGATTGGAGTGTAAGAAAGTGGAAGAATATCATTTGGAGTGATGAGAGTAGGTTTACAATATTTAAGAATGACGGTCTGGGATATGTCTGGAGAACACCTGGAACCAGATTCAATATTGAAAATCTTAGACCAACAGTAAAACATGGTGGTGGTGGCATAATGATGTGGGGTTGTTTTTTGGGAAAGGATTAGGACCACTGGTAAAAGTTGATGGCAAAATGAACCAACATGATTATATTCAAGTACTGGAAACAAATTTGCTGTTCTTAATTGATAAAGATTTTAATGGGCATGGGTATTCATTTCAAGATGATAATGCTCCTGTTCATACTGCTAAAGATGTTCAAGAGTGGTTGAAAACAAATGAAATTAAAATATTGAAAAATTGGCCAAGCCAATCTCCAGATCTAAACCCTATTGAGCATCTTTGGCATGTGCTAGAAACATGTATTAGAAGTTGTCCTAACAATCTAAGAAATCTTAAAGAACTTGAGGCTGCTTTAAAAGAGGAATGGAATAAAATTCCTCAAAATGTTTTAATGAATTTGATTGAAAGCATGCCTAGAAGAATTCAGGCTTGTATAAAGAGCAAAGGATACCCAACTAAATATTAAAAGTAGTTAAAATTTTAAATTAAAATTATTACATAGAATTTGAGTAATAAAATAAAAAATTTCACATCAGAAATTTAGTGATCATCAAAGAAAATTTTTTAATCGAATTTCATTTTTATATATTTATTCGAGTTCTATGGAACCTAGACACATGGGATTTTGTATAGATATTCATAAGAACCTAAACCGCAAATGATATAAATTTCATATATGTTTATTATGTACATTGTCCAGGTACTGTATGTGGCTATCATGGTGAACCCAAATCTGTTAAAAAAATTAAAAGAGAAGCATTGATCACTATATGGAAACCTAGTAGTTCTTTATATAATTCTATTCATGAGGGTCAGGGAAATCAGATATATTCATTATTGGTAGACAGTACATATTTATCATCATCAGAATTTTTTATTTTATGTCTGTCATCAAGTGGTGATACAACAGTATGGAAAGAACAAAAAGTTGATTTAAATAAAATTAGAAATTCATTTACACTATTTACATAAGTTTATGGTGGGCCCTTTAATATTATGCAAATATTACTTTACATATTAAAATTTATGGACGTAATATTACAGTGGGAAAATTTCCTGAAATAGTCCACAAGCAATTACATACTGTGATGAACTGGATAAAATTGATTGTTTATATATACCACAAGCTAACATAGCTATTAAAAGTAATTATCATTTGATTTTTGGTGAATATGCTTGTCATAAAAAAGAGTATGCTTTGGCACTTATTATATTAGGAGTTGATGAAGTTAAAAAAGACATAATATCTGGCATAACTGTGGAAGTCCAAATTGCTATAGGTATAAATGAAAGTGGACAACCTGTACTTATTGAAATCAACAAATCACTTTTTGTTAATATAAATGATTTATCAAGACCCAGAAACATAATCATAATGACAGATTTGATTATGATTTACTGGAAGTAGGAACTATAGTAATAGTAGCAATAGAAATAGAAGTGAAATTTTAACAAATTATTATGTAAACATATGTACTGAAAACCTAATTTTATTTAA